GCCTGGGTTCAAATGACGACCCTGTGCCCAGCAGCTGTGTGCCCAGGGGACATTTCCCACTCTCATTGTGAAAGGACTTGCTAGACACAGGGAGGCTCAGGATAAGCTGGAGGCTTGGCCCGGGAGACCTTCACATGGTCAGGGTGGGTGGGGCCCTCCCCGCAGATGGAGGCCCCCTTGGACGGAGGTCAAGCCCTGCTCCTCCGCTGGCCCCGGGGACCCCCCAGCAGCTCGTCAGATCGCCCCGGCTTCCCGGGCAGCCTGAGGCCCCCCAGGTTCCCTCCGTGGGCTCTAGAGCAGGAACGCTCTTGCCAGAATGCTTTTCCGTTCCTGAGTTTTGGGGGTCATCGACCTCAGGGCAGCCTTCACTCAGACTTTCTCAGGAGCACACCTGGCGCTGGCCTGAATCTCGGGTGAGACCAGAAGCTGGGATGGAGAAGGTGGGCGGGAGGGAGCAGGGTGGCCGTGGGGGCAACCCTGGGAGGCAGCGACTTGTTTCCAAGGCTTGTGATCACCTTGAGTCAGAGGGCCAGTTAGGATCACAAAGTCCCCCTGTGCCCACAGAGGATGGCACAACAAGGCTGTGTAACCTGGGGCAAGTCGCCCAGCCTCCCAGAGCCCCAGTTCCCCCAGCTATAAAGCAGGATGAAGTGAAGAGCCAGTGTACGCATTGTGCTTACCGTGTGCCCGCTGGGCTCAAAGGGTGCCCAAGAGTCAGTTCCTGTGGTCCACAGGTCACCAGCCCTGGGAGGCAAGTGTGTTCGTTGTTTCCAAATCACAGGACTGCGGTGGGGACGAATGAGAGCATTTCTGGCACATGCCAGAGCTGCGCGGGGCAGAGAGGAAGCCCCTGGCAGGCCTGGGCTCCTGACGCTGCATCACTGTGTCTAAAGTGATGTGCCCAAGGCTGGGTTCCAAAGAGCCGGTCTGCTTAGCCAAACCCCTGGGGGCTGGCAGAGTCAGGTAACAATTACTGGGCACCTACTGTGTGCCAGGCGTGGAGACACAACTCTGAATAAGAGCCTCAGGTGAGGAGCTCAGAGATGCTGGCTGAGGTCCCCCTTCCCCTTTGCCGCCCTGTTAGAGCCAGGCGCCCCGCCAGGAGCAGAGGCAGATCTGCCGGGGTGGATGGTAGGGGGCGAGGCAAGACTGCTAGGTGCGCCTGTCGTCGGTGATCTGCGTTCCAGGCTCACCTGAGTTTGTCTGCTGGTTGGATGTGTCCATGTGACAGTGTGAATCCCCTTGATGGCTCTAATCCATTCGTCAAGTGCTTCCTGACACTCCCCTGGACCTGGCCTTGGAGTGTAACTGTTAAGAGTCAGGACCTCAGCTCTCACTCACCTATTGTGTGACCTTGGGCACGTTTCCTAACATCTTTGTGCCTTGGTTTGTCACTTTTAAACTGGTGACCCCAGTGTGCATTTCTTAGAGCAGTGCCTGCCATATAGTCAGCTCTGCTCGAGTCCTGTGATTACTGCACATCGGGGACCCTGAGTGCTCCCACTTCCAGGGAGACAGACAGTAGAGACCAAAAACAGCAGGGCAGGGGGGCCCTTGCCTGTGTGGCACAGTTGGTTGGAGCATCATCCTACATACCATGAGCCTGGGGGTTCAGTTCCTGGTCAGGGCACCTATCTAAGTTGTGGGTTCCGTCCTCAGTTTGGTGTTTATGGGAAGCAGCCAACTGATGATTTTGTATTTTCTCTTTCTCTCTTTCTCTCCCTTCCTCTCTCTCTAAACATACATTTTTTTTAAATAAACATATCTAAAAAATTAAAAAATAAAAAGAGCACGGTGGGGAGTGCACGCATGGGCCTTGCCCAGGGTGCAGGGCAGGGGTGGGACTGGCCTGCCCTGCCGGAGAGCGCAGGAAGGCTCCCCTGACGTGTCAAGTGGTCCGGGGGTCCTTGTGCTGGCAGGGGGGCCGCTGCCTGCGCGGGCAGCGATGGCAGGCGAAGGGAGACCCTGAGATGCTGGCATGTGGCTCGCGTGCACAGGTAGCCGCAGGGGAGGATGGCTGTAGGAAGGCACTGTGTGCTGGAGTGCAGGTGAATGCGTGATCCCCAAGAAAAGCAAGGGGGTGAGGGGCAGAGTGAGACTCTGGCCCAGACCAGGCTTGGTTCTGGCTGTGACCAGTACCTTTGATGAACAGCAGGTGGCGCTCCTGGCCTGCCCAGCCTGGAGGTTCTACACTCCCCCACCTCTACTCAGCATGTCAGGGAAGAGTGGCGGCCGCCCCCAGAAGTCTCAGGGCTGGAGGGAACCCCTAAAGAGGGGCAATGCTCGGGACTCACCTTGTGCCTGAAGACCGTCCTAATGGCCTGCAGGAGAGCTAGTTCTCTCAGCCTTGCGTGCCTCTTGAGACAGTGCTCACTAGCTTTCAGAGCGGCCACTGCCACCTGAGGCCGGCTCCAGCTACTCCCCAACATCCCTCCTTACACACAGCGGACTCCGGCCCTAACTCTGCCCTTTGGGAGTTCCTCAGAACCAGTCTGCTCCCTGGGCCTGTGGCCACGGCCCCGGGAGGTGATCATCCCTCCATCCAGGTCCCTTATTTTATGGGCGTCATCCCAGATACCTGTATTGAACCCCCAGTACAATGGCTGGGAAGGGCTCATTTAATCTTCACAGCTGGGCACCTGGCGCTGAGCTGGCACACACAGGCACTCAGGGGATATTTGGAGAATGAGTGAATGAATGAACCCTGCGTGCTCATTATTCCCCTATTACAGTTGGGAGAGGTAAAGTTACTCACCCACTGTCTCACAGCTCATAACCGGCAGAACTTGGGATGTCAAAACATCCAGGTGTTTGCCCAACTCCGAGTCAGAGCTCTTCACACCAAGCTCTACTGCCTCCACTACAACCAGCTCCCCTAACACTGGGCCTCTCCTGGGCCCCCTCAGCCCCTCCCACCCCTCTCCGCATGGCACCCATGGGTCAGAATTCCTAAGGGAATTTAGGAATGGGACCTCAGATGAGACCTCAGAATTCCTAGGGTTGTTTTTGTTTTTTGTTTTAAGATTTTATTTATTTACTTTTGGAGAGAGGAAGGAAGGGAGAAAGAGGGAGAGAAACACGGATGCGTGAGAGGGACATTGGCTGCCTCTCGCATGCCCCCAGCTGGGGGCCTGGCCTGCAATCCAGGCATGCGCTCTGACTGGGAATCAAACTGGCGACCTTTAGGTTTGCAGGCCGACGCTCAACCCACTGAGCTCACTAGCCAGGGCAGAATTCCTAGGGAATTTTAAGGCTGGGGTTGGAATGTTTCCCTCCCTTCCTCTCCAGGAGCTCTGCCAAAGGGTGGCTGGCCTGGACTTACGCAGCCTTTAGGGATGGGCTCTCACGCCCTCTGAGGGAGCATCTTCGAATGCAGCTCCCGTTTATGGTGAGCTATGTTTGTCCTCTGGACCTCCCTCCAAGGGCCCCGGAGCACACGCCCAGGCTCCCGGACCCCCGCAGATCACGGCTGCTGCCCCATGGCCTGGCTGCTGCTCCGGGCCCACTCCCCTCTTGGCTCTGTTCGTTCTGGTTTCAGTTCCCCCTTCCTTGGGGGAATTGTTCCAGATTCAGCTCAATTTAGTTCCTATTTTCTGATGGCAGGGACTTCACTGGGTGCCAGGACCCAGGGGCTGAGAGCAGAGGCATCCAGCCTGCCATTTTTGGCAAATAACCTCCCCCTCGGGGCCTCAGTTTCCCATCGAGGAGGTGGAGACACCGACCGACCTCCTCTACTTCATGGGTTGCTGAGGGAATGAAATGAGACAACCCATGTAAAGCACTTGGCGCCACCCCTGGCGTATAGTTAGGGCTCAATAGTCACCCCTCTCCTCCCAAAACGCCTGGGTGGGGTGAGCTCAGGTGAATGGGAAACACATTTATTGCCTCAAAAAATTTGTGTTGAGCATCCATTATGTGCCAGTCCCTGGGCTAGTACTGGGGACACAGCAGCAAACAAGACCACCCCAACCTCTGCCCTCTTGGAGCTCAAGTGCTGGTTAGTGGTGGGAGACTCACATAGAAAAGCAAAGCGCGCCGCTCATCGGGTGGGAGTGAGGGCCTAGAGACAACCGAACGGCATCACGCAGGGTGAAAGGACGGCCTCAGCAGCACGCTTCTCACACCGTCTGCCCCGGTGGGGGGGGGTCTCTGTGCCACCTGAGGAACCCGAGCCTCAGTGAGCCGCCTGAGGCCACTCAGCTCCTGGGGAAGCAGTACGTTCCGCTCTGGGTGTGCCCAGCTTTTCCTCTGCAGATCCAGTGACAGGGCCCAGAAGTCAGCACCCCGCAGGTGCGGAGGGGAGACGGAGGCCCAGCGAGGGCCGCACCTAATCTGAGGTCATCCAGCCCATCTGTGCCCTGGGGGCATGAGTGTCCAGTGGGCTTGGATGACCTGGGTTTGGAGTGGGTGACAGGTCCTGGAAGAACAGTGTGAAGGGGGCGCTTGCGGGGAGGCTACTAATGATCACATAAATGTGACCCAGCTACTCGACCCTCAGAGGGGCCAGGCCGGTCCTCCGGACCCCGCATTCCCACTCGGGACCCTTCCCTTCCCTCACAACAGCCCAAGGAGGCGCGTTCTGAGGGATCCCCGTTCTCCAGACGGAGGCTCAGAAAGACAGGGTCCTCGTCCTAGGTCGCACAGCAGCCGGTTGGGCACCGCTGTCCCGCTGACCCCACTGCGGCGTGGACTACCTGTGCAAGGGCGCGGGGCGCGCGGCGCGCGGGGGCACCCCGGCGCACGGGCTCTGGGCGGGGAGCCGGGGCGCTGGAGGCTTTGCGGGGGTGCGCAGACCGGACCGGGGGCGCAAGGGGCGGGGATCACCGGGCGGGGGGCGCGCTCGGCCCTGCCCCGCCCCTCCTCCCGCCCCGCCCGTGCTGGGGGCGGCCCGGCGGCGGCGCACGCTTCCTGCGGGCGCGGCGGCTGTGGGCGCGGAGCCGCGAGGCGGAGCCGGGCCGCTGAGCCGGGAACGCCGAGCGAGCCGCGCGTCGGTCCAGCCGCCGGGCCGCGCCGCCGCCGCCGAGCAGCAGCCCCGCGCGCCGCGCCTCGGGAACAAAGGCGCCCGCCGCCCGCCGCCGCCGCCATGAAACCGGGGCCACCGCGCCGAGCCGGGGCCGCTCACGGGGCAGGCGCAGGGACCGGGGCTGCGGCTGGGCCCGGGGCCCGCGGGCTGCTGCTGCCGCCACTGCTGCTGCTACTGCTGGCCGGGCGCGCCGCGGGGGTGAGTGACGCGCGCCGGGACCCCCTCGCTATACCCCGGTCCCCTCCCCCACTGCGTCCCTAGCCCCTCCCGTGGCCCCCCCCTCACCCCGCGGTGTGGCATCGGTGGGGGAAGGCCATTCCCGCCGCCGGTCGCCTTCTAGGGGCTCGTTCCCCTTCCTTTTGGCACAGCTCCCCAGAGGGAGGCCCGGCGGGAACCAGCAGTGCTCCCCTCCCCGGTGGCTCTGAGAATCCGCCGCCCCGCAAGCGGAGCGGGGTCCCCGCTCTGGACGAGGGGCGCGGGGAGGGCCTGACGGCGGGCTGGGGGTCGCCGCGCTCGGGGCCACGGCTGGGTGTGTCTTGGGTCTGGAGTAAACGTGGATTTTGCTCGTGGGTGTGCCGAGACCACGGCCACTTTTAGGGAAACGAGTCTGTTTCCCTTACTGGGGGAGGGTGTGCATTTGGTTCCTCCCAGGGTCGCTTTGATGAGCACAGTGGGGGGCCCAGAGAAGGGGAGGGGCGGAGGGTGACTTGTGTGAAGGTGACCTGAGGGGGTGAGTGACGGTGACCGTGTGTGCGTGCGCGTGTGTCCACTTCAGTGAAGGGTGCTGGAACCTGTGGTGTGTGCACTGGTGAAAGGGATGGGTGAGTGCCACCATGTCTTACCTGTGTGTTTGGTCGTGTGAGGGCGACCCATTGTGCATGGTGCCAGCAGCTGGGCTGGGTGACTGTTGGCCATGGCTGTGTGTGCCTGCAGGGGAGCGTGTGGGGCGGAGAGACCTATGTGGTGGGCGTGTGCTGGGGCCCATGGGGGTGTGTGCATGTGTGTGCATGCAGGTGCTTGGGTGGCTGCGCATGGGGCATGTCCCCCTGAGGGGGGCCAAGTGTGTGCAGGTAGGGGTGGGTACATATGTATGAGATGACTCCTGAGTGTCCCTTTGAGTGACCGCAGCAGCAGCGGCGGCGGTGGCGGCGGTGGCGGCGGTGGCGGCGGCAGCGGCGGCAGCTGTGGGTTGAGCTCTGTCCCAGCTCCAACTGAGGGAGCAGAAGGAGGGGGGCATAGAGAGGAAGGGCCTCCTGCCCACTTTGAGGGGCTCAGGCTCCAAGTGAGCTCCGCGGCGGGCACATGTCTGAAGCCTGGACGGCAAATGAGCTAGGGGTTTCTAGGCCCAATCTTTTTGATTCTTCCAGGAGCTCTGCCGTCCCCTGCTCCTCAGTCTGCAATGGACCAGGCCTGGGAGGCACGCCCCCACCCAGAACCCACTCTCCCCCTGCAAGCCTCCTCGGCCCTCAGTCAGCCAGCCTTTAAAGTGGGAGGAGGGCAGGCGGGGACTCAGAGGCCGCTTCTTGGACAGATGGGCTGCTCACCAGCTTTCCCCGTCTGGCACTGTGAGGGGGGAGGGGAGCATTGGATGCCCCAGGAAGTCCCTGCATGGGGCTGCATGTTTCAGCCCATTTCCCCACCCCACTCCCCGAGGTGAGGTGCAGAGAAGACGTCCCTGGGAGGGTCAGAGCCCCAGCCCATCTTAGCAGCGCGGTCACTGCCTTAGCTACACTTCTGGATGACCATCTTTGAAATCAGGGTTAGAAACCCCACAGCCTTGGGTTCCAGTCCTGCTACTGCCATGGGCCCGTGGCGGGACCTTGGACAGGCCGCCTCCCCTCTCAGGGCCTCTATTTTCCCATCTGTGAGATGGGCCTCTAACACCCTCCTCCAATGAGAGGATGCGTGAGCGCCTCCTCAGAGGGAGCTCAGCGAGCATTCGGTGTGTAGGTGAGTGAACAGGGGCTCCGGACAAGTCTTCAGACGTGGAGGCCCCGCAGGAATCTCTGGGCTGTGTGACCCTGGCAAGTCGCATCCGTCTCTGAACAACTGTTCCTTCTTCAGAAACCAGCACTGATAATCCGTTCCCCTGGAGGAGGTGGGAGGAACTGACTGGAGAGCACAGTGAGCCACAGGCCCTGGTGCACAGTGGGGCCTCGGCGAGGCAGGGTGCCCTGGATCTGGGGGTACAACTCAGACCCAGTGCTGGGGGGCCGGTCAAGCAAACCTGGGGCTCTGGCCTGGAGGTGGCTGCGGCTGGGCTTGACCAGAAGGAGGGGAGGTGTGAGGCTCCAGTGGGAGCTGGGGAGTCCCTCCGGGCCTCACACCTTCCTGGGGTTGGGCCTTAGAGGAGCGGCATCTCCGTATCTGGCCCGGGAGGCAAAAAGTTAATGGGTGGTGCCCAGGTGCCAGGGGTGCCACACGGGAGGAAAAGGGCCATGCTGACCGCGGGAGGGACTGAGCTGGGCCTGAGGAGCCCCCGCTGGAACGGCTCCGGGAGTGGCCTCCACAGGGGGTCCCCTGAGGACATCACTGGGATGGGCCGTGGCTGGCTTAGGGCAGGGGCGGGACAAGGCGGCCCCCCTCAGTCTGCCCTCCAGCTTGCAAGGGAGTGTGTGTGTGAATGGGGGAGCTTCCAGGGAGACCTCAGTGCGGATAACAGGTCTCATTCATGCTGCAGATGGTGAGTTGGGTGGCGTGTGTGTGTGTGTGTGTGTGTGTGTGTGTGTGTGTCCTGGCATCTGCTTTGGGGAGTCTTCTCTTCTGAGAGGCCAGGTGACTATAACTCTAAGGGACATCTGCCTGCAGGGCCACCTCAGCTGCTGCACTTAAGTCACCACTGAGAAAGCCTTGGAGTGTGGGGATCCTGGAAATCTGAGCTTTGAAACGTGTTGTTGTATAATAGGAGCTCAGGGCTGCTATTTTAGGTGCCCCTTAGTCTTGTTTGAATACTCCCAGTGATGGAAGTTTGCTACTTTGTGGCTGTGTGACCTTGTGAAAGTTACTTACCCTCTCTGTGCCTTTGTTTCCACCACTGTAAAATGGGGGAGAATATGAGAATGAAAGGGGTTCATATGTAAAGCTCTTAGCACAATGCTTGGTACATAGTAAATACTCAACAAAAGTTAATTTCTTGTTCTTTTACAAGGTTACAATTCTGTGGTTGGTAGGGGTGGGGAGGGGAAGGATGAGGGACCATGGGGAGAAGATGTCAATTAGGAAATTCTTTTGAAGCCCCACCCCCATGGCTGGCAGTTCCTGCTCCTTCCCCACCCCCATCATTTCAATCACTTGGGCTCCCTACTCCTCTCCCCTCCAGCTACTCCTGTTGACTCGAGTGTTATATTACCAGGGCAAGATTGTCCTCTCTGTAAAAATGAAAAGTTGGGGACCCTTGGGCTGTCCCAGGCCAGGGCCTGACACAGGGACACCGCAGGGATCTGCTGCCTGTTGGCCCCCAAGGTGGCAGTGGCTCTGGGGACAGACACTTGCCGTGTGATTTCAGGTAAAGGATTTCTGTGTCTCAACTTCCTCGTCTGTAAAATGGGGACAGTAACAATGCCAGCCTCGCAGAAATGTTTGATGAGGTAATGAGCTCCTCAAATAGCCTGAGCCGGCAGGCAGGGCTCTGTAGTGAGCGCACAGGAGTTGGGACCTTTCCAGGAGGAAGCCCGGAGAGGTCAAGGGGGGCATCCGGAGGAGGAGGTTTGAGCCAAGCTATGCAAGTGGCCACCCTGTGACACTGAGCCAGCTGTAGCTTGCCCTGACCCTTGGCTTTTTTCCTTATGTGTCAACTGAGGACAAATACTTACAGGCCTATATTGGGGGCTACAGCATCCCTGGGGCATAGTTAGGGCCTGATGCCTTCTGCTCCCTGCCTCCAGCTGCAGATCCAGCAGGTTCATTTCCAGGTGCTGGGGCTTGGTGTGGGGTTGGGCTCTGCTGGAGAAAATGACTCTGGCCTTTTGAAAATAAATGGCTCTTTCCACTTCATGGATTGGGACACAGGGCCCTAGGGGGCCCTCCCCCCACCTCCATACCCCTCCCCCACTGGCAACACGGGGCAGGGTAGCTCTGGGCTTGGGCTCTGGAAAATGCCAGAGCAGCAGTGGGGAGGGTGCAAGGGGCATCCTGGGAGGAGAAGAAGGACAAGACAGCACTTCCCCCAGATGCCAGGCCCTGGACCGGCCTCCCTCCCTGGCCTCCCACTGGAGCTGCTGAGGGCAGAGGGGCCGGTCACTCCAGGAGGGGCTGGAATGGGATTCCTGGAGGCTGGAGCCGACTGAGGCAGCTGGGGGGGGGGGGTGGCCAAGTCTCCATCTCCCCAGCCTGACAGGGGCTGAGGGCTTGATCTGGGAGGCAGCCTCCAGGCCTCTGAGGGCTGAATAACAGAACCAGCATTTGTTTAATCCTCACGATCATCTTGGGAGGTAGGAATTATTGGAACCCTCATTTTATGAAGGAGGAATCTGAGTCATAGAGAGAGGTCAAATGACTTCCTCAAGGTTACACACAGCTGGAAAGTGGCAGCGTTGGCCTGTGCTTGGGCCTGGCAGGCTAGTCAAGCTGGGCTGTCGTCCTGATTTCGTCCCCTCTTGCTGTGTGATCTTGGGCAACTCGCTTCCCCTCTCTGGGGCTTGCCTACCTCCCAGATTATGCCCATGTTGCTGCTGTTTCCTAAGTGCCTGTTCCCAGCCAGGCCCTCGGCCAGGTGCGTCCCATATCTGTTCTCATTTAATTCTCACCTCGGCCTTGGAGGCGCATGATGCTAGGTGGGGGAAGGGACGTGCTCCTCCACCACCTCACAGGGCTCTGTCATCTGTTAAATGAGCTCCTGTGAACGCCATTGGGGATGGATCCAGGAGAGTTTTCTTTGTAAACTGTGCAGCGCTGTCAACAAAATTGGGGTGGGGGCGGGGCTCATGTCTGGGCCATGTGACCATGGCACAGCAAGGGAAATGCTTAGAACCTCAGGATGAGAGTGGTCTAAAAAGCCACATTCCCCCTGGACGTGTCCTGGGTGTCACCGGTGGCGGCGGCCAGGCCTGCCTTTAGTCCCCTTGGGCCCTGAGAAGGCTGTCTTGGGGCGCCCAGGTTTACATCCGTGCAGCCCCATTCTTGAGTCCTGGCCCCACTGCCCCTCAGCTTCCCTCTGGCCCAACTGACAGAGGCGCGGCGAAGAGGAGCGACTTGGAAGT